GTAGCTTCTCAGCGCCATGGAGTTAATTGATATCTCGTACACGGAATGAAGGACAAAATCATAACACAATGAGAGCCAACAAATCCTTTTGAAAATGTCGCGAAGTTCACATGTTTGGGACTCAAAGTATGGTTTGCGTCGAAGAAAAAATTTAGAAGAGATTAAATTAAGGGAATGCCTGTTCCCACCAAGTTTCAAAACTTTGTGTCCCCGTCTAACACAAAAACAACACCAAGATTAAACTATATAAAAGCATATTTTCGCACTTTAGTCTCTTTATGGGAACAAGAACAGACTGGTGATATCTGAGAAAAGGGTGTGGAAGAGAATCTCTGGATGCAAGAGACAGGAACTAAAAGGTGGGCCGGAGAAAACTGAGTAATGAGAAAGCAGCTTCGAAATTTGTGCTCTCGCCAAATGATGAAATTGAAGATGAAGATTTAAGGTTCTCTTGGCAGTGGTCATTACAAGATCATTTTTTTGTGGGAGGGGAGGAGATATAAGGGCATGTAGTCACTAAAAGTCACCGACGTTTCGGAGAAAAATTTTGCCTCCATATTCTGGGTTCACGAATGAGTTAAGCAAGAAACCTGCATAAAACAGGCAGTTACATCCCAGCACAGTCTTGCAATTATAAATCCGTTCCGCGGAACAAAAACAAAAGTGTAAATTGAAGCGTCTTATTAATTTAATTTGATCTTGGCATAGACAGCATTATTGTACATCGTATATTGTATTCTCAATAGTGTCGGTTACCTCATGGGCCTCTAAAAATATGACGAAAAACAGGAGGGATAGGAAAAATCATTGGTCTTGTATACTGCACCTTCTATGTGATAAATTAGAGACTACAAAGTAACTACAAGGGTTTCGCCGCGCCATAGCTCAAGCGGTTAGTCGCTGGCTTCCCACCGCGGCGGCCCGTGTTCGATCCCGGGGTCTGGTCAAGTGGGATTTTTGGTGGACAAAGTGGCGCTGGGGCAGGTTTTCTCCGAGTACTTCGGTTTCCCCTGCCAGTCTTCATTCCACCAAATTCTCCATCATCATAATCACCAGGGGCAGGCTACAATAGGCCAATTAGTGGCCGCAGTACCGAGTGGACCCAGTTGGACTCCACCCCCCACTAAGCGAATTCAAAAAAAGAAACTACAAGGATTGGATGAAAAGTAGTGGCAACACTGCTGTAACATGGAAAAGTCCCGTCAGATCGCACTAGCGCCGTCTGTAGCTGATAGCAGAAATTCAGTTGAAGTAGTGCAGCGAGTATATTCTACTGCCAACCTACTTCAGGTACTTAAACACCGGAGGGAAGTTCAAATATAACACAGACCTTCTCTTAGGTAAGGTTGCCTACACAGGGCACTCGGTAACGTAGTTGGTTGAGGCACTATGCTACAAGCCGGAAGGCCACGGGTTCGATTCCCAATTAGGTCCTTAGATTTTTCAATTGACTTAATCCTTCCAGCCGCATTATGACCCTGGGGTCGACTCGACCTCCAACAGAAATGAGTACCAGGAATCTTCCTGAGGGATAAGGGGACGCCGGCCGGCGCGTAAGGCTGACCTTACCGCCATCTGTGAGACGATTGTCTAGAAAATGTGAGAGCCTTGACGTCTCATAGCTATGTCCCTCAATACTTTTCGCTCGCAGATAGCAGGCGTTTTATCAGATATTGATAACATCCACTTTCCCAGTGCATATGTCTGACTGTCTAATTAATGTCCAATAAAATATGATTTTGCTTTTCCATGAAAGTACATGTATATGTGATTTTAATTGGTCTTTTAATCTATAAAAACGTTTATTACAGCTACTACATATGCAAAGTGTGGAAATTCAGAAAATACGCCGATTGCAAAATGAAGAAAGGAAACATGTCCCCGTTTCAGTACTTTTTAATACATACGATTAATACATACGTATATTCCATTTTCGAAGCAACCGAGTCAGTTATAAGGCACACGAAATTCCAAAGAAACTTACGGAAAGAAATACCAACCATAACAATTATACGAGTTTATGTAATTCTAAAAATGTAGGTTTCAAGAAGCTTTTCCTAATTAAGCATTCTTCACGAAAATGACGACGGCTGACGACGGAGAGATGAGATCCACCTACCGGCAAAATTAGTTAACAACCTGCAACTTCTCCCATACTACGCGTCCTCACATTGCACAAGCCAGTATTCTTCTCAGTCACTATCGTGGCTTGGCAACCTCAAATCTCACAATGTAGCACTTAATCTTAGGAGGTAAAAAAGTAAAGCTATCCCTGTAACAGGCCGTGAAGGCCCATAGGGTTGTGAGACGTCGAGGGTCCCACATTTTCTAGACAATCGGCTGACAGATGGTAGTAAGTTTGTCAGCTTTACGCGCCGGCCGCGCTTTACTACCCAGGAAAATTATTTAATTAATTCCTGGTACTCATTTCTGTTAGAAGCTGAGTCGACCCCAGAGCCATAGTGAGGCCGGAAGGATTAGGTCAATTGAAAACATTCCAATGACCTCATCGGAACTTGAACCCGCGACCTTCCGACTTGTAGCATAGTGCCTCAACCAACTACGATACCGTGTGCCCAATCTAAGGAGATAACTTCCAGTTATACAGGTGTCTCTGAATATGACGTCACGGAAATTTTGGGAGAGCCCGCCTATCCAAACAGCATCATTACGGGACGTTCTTACATAAGGCTGGGTTTTAAGGTCACTTCGTGGAATGTCGAACAAAAATCAAACATGCCCACTAAGATACAAGTAAGGTAAATTTATCATTGTACTTAACTAAGCACCATGCCATGAAGACGTATAGGGGTCTGGAGGTATAGCTCCACCATTCTTGACCTCGGCACTATATGGAGACAAATGGTTAGCTTCACGCCCCGGCCACTGCACCCCCGGGGAAATAGCCCCTTGTACCCACTGGATAGGAGGCTGGGTGGTTGTCAGAGCCGGGCTAGCCGCTGCGGAGTAGAGAAAAATCTCTTTCCGCTTTCGGGAATCGAACCCCGGCCGTCCATCCTGGAGCCCGTTATTACACCGACTGTGCTATTGGAAGGAAAATAATGCAAGGGGTCAAGGATGGCAGAGCTATAACTCCGCTCCCCCGTACGTTTTAATGGCGTAGTGCTTAATTAGTTACGAACAGGGATAACTTTACCATTACATTACGAAGGGGTCACTGCATTATGCGAATGCCAGCTGGGGGTACAAATCGAGATATCGAAAGACAGGAACACTTACATGTCTTACATTTGTTCGGCACTCGAAAAATCTCTAATTACTCGAGACACACTTTAAGCTTTCCCCTTTGGGACTACTACTGAAATCTGTGAACGTTATGATTTTGTGGGCTCCTTTCCTTAGTTCACTTCTTTTGAAGAAAAAATAAAAGTAGGCTTATGAGATCGCCATGCTCTTTGTGTGTCTGTGTATCCCCCCAAAACAACTTTTGAATGCCGGAACCAATTTTTATGACACTGGAATTTATATCATGGCACCTGAGCCCATCTCAACGGCGTATTTCATAAATCCCTCCCATCAGTCTGTCTCTCTATGTGTAAAAAAAAGGTAAAAAGTAAAGCTATCCCTGTAAGAGGCCGTGAAGGCCCATCAGGTTGTGAGACGTCGAGGCTCCCATATTGTCTACACAATCGGCTCGCAGATGGCGGTAAGTTTGTCAGTCTTACGCGCCGACCTCCCTTTACCCCTTTACCCTTTACCCCAGGAATATTCCTGGTACTAATTTATGTTAGAAGCGAGTCGACCCCACGGCCATAGCGCGGCTGGAAGAATTTGGTAAACTGAAAAAAAAATCACCTCAACGGAAGTCGAACCCGCGACCTTCCGGCCTGTACCGCGTGCCCCCATGTGTATCACCCCAACAGCTGCTAGGCAATGGCTAGGTGCAAAACGTGTTCGCGGCAACGAATAAACACGCACCAATAGAATTACCGTTGAACGCTTCGTTTCCACGCGGTTCATGTCGTATCAAATGAAGGGAGGCGATTAGTTCTTCCCAGAACTTCTTGCTTCTTGTGGTTTATTTTAGACCACTTTCAATACCTAGACTATATACATCTGGGGATTATTCGGGGCACGGTCCCACGAGCATCCATCAACGAACACCAGACAGGTCTAACGCACAACCAACGACAGGAACAACAAAATTCCGCCCACACCACAGTTCTGAACAGCAACAGGAGGGCACTGATTTTAATTTTAATTAAAATTAATTAATTTCAATCATAATTTTATCTAATTTTATGCCACAACTGACACAAATTTCAACTCTATTGACAGCAGTCAGAGCGCACCGAACTGCGTATCGAATGGACATGATACTGAAGAGTTATATCTTTTGCTGTTGAAACCAGCAGGTGGCGAGCACAGCTCTTGGCATATGCTTCTACCCTGAAGATGGAAACGACGTGTTCCTCCGACGAGTCAGTTGACTTTCATCAGATTATAAGGCGTTCTATCCAAGCATATAGAACTCTTCATAACCACAGCTGTGAGAAACCTCAAATCCTACACACCTGATGATGGTTGCATGACGATCATATCATGCTGCACACCAATACAGTGCCAACAAGCGTAAAGTGGTAGAGCGAATTATTAAATACAAATCATACAGTGTTTCGTTTGAAAGAACGAAATATGAAGGTCCACTCTTCTTTCTAATGAGCCCAAGAGAATAGGGTCCTTTCTCTTTCTAACAGGTAAAGCTGAGTAGATTCCTTCCTCTTCGTAACACACCTAATCGAATCGAATCCTTCTTTTCTTACATCTGACAACGGAAAGGCATCCAGTTTCAAAAACGTTGTGCATACATACTCCCAAGACTAAATAAGAGTCGTATAACAATGTTAACTCGTTTTAGATTAAATTCTTTGTTCTTACGAAATACTATCCATACAGTATTTGTCATTTGTTATGTTTCCAGAAATTCAGTAAACTTCATCACGAGGAGAGGACAATATTCTGTTACGAACAACACTTACCTTACTGACGCAGCGCTCTGAAATCTTGATATCGTTCCAGCGCTGCTGGTAAGACACTGATAACAAGATCACTTTCTTCTGCTTGCTTTTCTTGCCTAGGCCTAATTGTCACACGGGACACAAAACACAGCGAAAGAACGCCTACATGAAGTATAGCAATACACAAACACTGAACACGGTGTTATGGAGTAGAGTGCAACCAGTATTTTAGTTTCCAAGAAATTTACTTGCTTTCATGTTTAGACTGTGACGAAGCTAAGGTGAAAATAAAATCACAAACGACCCCTCCACTGCTACCAAATTCATACATTCAAACGTAGATACCCCTACCACCTCTTCTACCTTTGAAGTGTTCACTGTGTACTTTTTATTCCGAGTTACTTAATAAGGTGATAACAAAACAATACATCACAATTTGTATAATCCTGTCGATTTATTTTGTCCTTTAAACTTCATGATAAACAATTCACACGCAAAATAACTGATAACACTGAAGAAGTCCACGAGACTAGCAACACAGGTGTTACATTCTGTGCGATTAACGTAAAAAAAGATCCATTCACATAAAAAATGTTGATCACCTCTCGTAGATAAGTGAAACGTATCGAACTGCCATTATTCTCACTACATAATGACCCTCTTTAACTGAACGTTAGGTTAGAGAGAAGTCATCCGTTGCATTGTGTTTCAAAGTCTATAAGACTGGGTTGATAAAGCTTGAATGCTATTCACAGCTGGCAGGGTCCGCGCTCAACTGCGATCATACCTCCCTCCTGTCTCCCGCTAACGAAACAAAAAAAGCACAGGACATTCAGCTGAACTGGGCTGACGCTAGCTGCTGTCTGCAGTTCGCTGGATCGGCCAGACAAACTCCTTGTTTGAAACTTACAGAACCCGCAGTCCCCAAGGATATACACGCTTGTGCTGGAATAACAAGTGGCCAATAGACTGTGTAAGTAAATTGGTATCCCATACAGTGTCCTTGATGTGAGTACAGTCAAAGGCCACGTTTGGTATGCAAGACACTGCAAGTCTGAACCACTTATGCAGCAGGCAGGGTGGGGGATGACCAGACACTTGCCCCTACTCCCCCTTCTTGGCATAGCGGAGCAACGAAAATCAAAGCTGAAAAAACAATTAAATGCACGGAATATTAAGTGTTTTAGCTTACTTTCCTTATTTAAAAAATGCAAGGAGGCTTATGAGACCACCTTGCTGTCTGTGTGTCTGTGTGTCACCCTAGTGCATCCGCCCCATTCGTTTTCTATGCGGTCTGTGTGGTACCAAAGGAAAGTAGGGGGTTAGTTCTCCCCAGAACTTTATGTTTTAATTATTCTTCTAACCTAAATATTCAGGGCCACCAGTAAGAATACTCTTCAACGGTTTCTGCATAAGCCTGTAAGCAAATTCTTCGGTGCCCCCACCCTTCCTTTTAAGAATCCTGGTGGGGCCCGTGTTAAAAGAGTCTGATCGCCTTCCTCATTGAGCAGTGTTATGACTGGGGTGCATGAGAACTGAGTACTAAGGATAATGTAAAACCCTAAGGCGCGGAACTAACAAGAGACTGGAGAAAACTGCGTAATGAATTTACCTCATCAAATATTATTTGTTTTTCAATGGCTCTTCCAGCCCATTCAGGGCCCAGACCTCTTATTCTTTCTTTTTATTGCTAGTGGGGTGGGACTAAGTACCTTGTACTGCAGCCACTTCTGGCCTATTGTACCAGCCCCAGATGATAGGTGAGGGGTGATTGTGGAACAATTGGTGGAATGAAGATTGGCAGGGGAAACCGAAGTACTCGGAGAAAACCTGCCCCAGCGCCACTTTGTCCACCACAAATCCCACTTGACCAGACCCGGTATCGAACCCGGGCCGCCGTGGTGGGAAGCCAGCGACTAATCGCTTGAGCGATTGAGCTTGGCGCGGCCTTACCTCTTATTCAGTTCCGTAATCATTTTTCACAGACGGTAGGACGCATACACACACTAAATATCCATGCCATGAGCAGGATTCGAACCCACGATCCCAGCGCCCGAGCGAGTGAAGACAGTTCATGCCTTAGACCGCGCGGCTACTGTGACCGGCCATCAAATATTAGGATGATTAAATGGAAGAGAATCAGGTGGACGGCGCATGTAGCATGCGTGGAATAAATTACATAGAAAGTTTCGGCATAAAAGAGGCTACTAGGAATACATATGCGTAGATGGGAGGATAATATTAGAATAGATCTTCATGAAGTACAATGGGAGGGTGAGGACAGGATTAATCTCGCTGTGGATAAGGACCATTGGTGGGCTTTTGTGAACACGGTAATGAATTTTTGGATTCCGTAAAATGCAGTAAATCTTTTGAATAGCTTAGCAACTATTAGTTTCCCAAAAAGACTTCATTTAATTTCGTTAATTAGCTGTTTTGTGATTAATTGGTCATTTCTTTATTTACCAATAGTTCTTCAGTGTTAATAATTAAAAATCCATCTTTTCTCACAGAATGACAGAAATGTGATCCAATAATGAGAGAATGAAAGTGCTGCAAAGCAAAATGGAGCTCATTTCATACACTTACGTACTCAGTTTCTCCTTAACGTCAATGCACAACCGTTACTCACCTGTTATATCGGTGACCTAAAGATATTTCACGTTTATAGCTTATTTAACAACTCTGTTACTAACTCATGGCATATAAAACCGAATGGTTGGATGGTCGGCGTATAAAACATGTAGAAGGAAGCGGTCGCAGCCTAGGGAACGTAAACTCTTATGGTCTATCAGGCCGTGTACTTCGGTAGAAGTGAACAGAGAAATTCAAATTTCATAAGTCTAGTGCTGACCACGAGACTAAGTTGGTTGAGGGGCTATGCTACAAACCGGAACGTCGCGGGTTCAAGTCCCGATGAAGTCATTGGATTTTTTTTTCAATTGACCTAATCCTTCCAGCCGCACTATGGCCCTGGGGTCGACTCAGCCTCTAACAGAAATGAGTACCAAGAATTAATTAAATAATTTTCCTGGGGAGTAAAGTGCGGCCGGCGCGTAAAGCTGACAACCTTACCGCTATCTTTGAGCCGATTGTCTAGATAATGTGGGACCCTCGTCTCACAACCCTATGAGCCTTTACGGCCTGTTACAGGGAGAGCTTTACTTTTTAAGTCTATTGCGGTCTGTCTGGTAAACTGCTGCTTATCCTCTCCAGCACAGTCATTCCTGGTTTCCGGCCCCGCGGGACTCATGACCAATATTTTAACTGTATTCAGTGCGGTCTGATTAGTATGCCTGTATAAAGACGCAAGTTTCCCTCTCCTACAGCGAATCTAACGAGGAACACGCGATGATACGTTACGAAATTTATTCCTTACTCTTGCCAGTATGCACGGTGGTAATGATTATTAAAGAGATGTGCCATTATTGGGGAAGAGTTTTATTTCTTCCCTATCCGGGACCTGATAGAGAACACCCAAAGGTAAACGGTAAAAGTAAAGATATCCCTGTAACAGGCCATGCAGGCTCGTAGGGTTGAGACATCGAGGCTCCCACATTCTCTAGACAATCGGCTCACAGATGGCGGTGAAGTTGTTAGCCTTACGCTACGGCCGCCCTTTAGACCCAGGAAGTTTCCTGATACTAATTTCTTTTAGAGGCTGAGTCGACCACAGGAACAGAGAGTGGCAGGAAGGATTAGATGAATTGAAAAATCCAATTGTCTCATCAGGAATCGAACCCGCCACCTTGTGGCTTGCAGCAGATTCTACTCGTATATTAAATTACTTTGGGTGACATGCCACGTGTTGTGACTTTGCAACAAAGCGGCCATGTCACGCGACGCTCTACACGTCATGTATTCGGGCGCTACTCGCTACGTGAACTGAGGTTCTTATGGTTTATCCCAGTCCTTCCAGGCAAGTGCTGGGAGATTACCACAATCAGGAAACGACTGCTTCCTTGCAAATCCCTTCCAATTCAGTGAACACAAATTATTCTACTGTGAAGGCAAATTTGTCTCTGTGCTTAAGCAAGCACCACGCCATGAAGACGTGAAGGGGAGTGGAGGTATAGCTCAACCATTCTTAAACACGACACTAGATGGAGGTGAGTGGTCAACTTCATGCCCTGGCCGCCTTACCCCCCTCCCGGGAGAAGAGCCCCCAGTACCCTTTGGATATACAGCTGAGTGGGCCCCAGAACCGGTCTGGACGCTATGAACTAGAAAAAAAATCCCATACCCTTGCTGGTAATGGAATCATCTTACCATTAGGCGTTACATAGCCTAAATGCGGACAAAGGGCTAGCGCGGTCGGTATGGCGACTGGCTACGGGCTGGACGGTATAAGGGTCGAAGTTCAAGTCCCGTAAGGGCAAGATTTTTCTCGTTTCCACAGCGTCCAGACCGGCGCTGTGGCCCACCCAGCCTCCTATCCAGTGGGTACCGGGGTCTCTTCCCCAGGCCGTGAAGCTGACCACTCACTTCACTGCTGTGCCGAGGTCAAGAATGGTGGAGCTATGACTCCACTACCCCATACGTCTTCATTGAATGGTGCTTCATTAATTAAGAATTTGGTGCCGGTATAGTTCAGTCGGTGTAGCGACTAGGTTACAGGATGGGTGACCGATGAGTCGGAATTCGATTCCCGGTAGAGGCAAGAGCTTACTCTACCCAGGCTCTTATACAATGGGTACCGGGGGTAAAGTGGTAGGGGCGTGAAGCTGACCACTCACCTCCATCTTCGCCTAAGTTAGGAATGGTGGAGCTATACTTCCACTCCCCTATACGTCTTCAAGGCCCAGTGCCTAATTAATGAAGCCCACGAAGAACTTTATCTTTACTTCAAATTTTGAATTTCATTATTAATATTTGACATGCTTTTCTTCCTCAGTTCTGATTTGTTTACAAAAACTGAGGGGTGACGGGGGGNATGACTGAGCCTATATTCTGCAGAGAGGAACATATAAGGTAATTACCTTATATCTTCCTCTCTGCAGAATATATTGACTGTGAGCTGAAGTGAAAGGTCATGCTTCCGTGCTCTTGCATCTTTCATTAAGGCAGAACAAGATAATTCCAATTTTCCATAACCGACCATAACTTCCCTCAAATTGTTTACCTCTCGAAAAAAAATGCAGCGCTGAAACATTACATTTAGTAAAATTTACCTACTTCATCGTGTTAAACATTTATTTACAGACCCTATATCTACACATTCTATATTTTTTCTTCCGTATTTACACATTAAGTGACGACCCAAGTAACTTTAAAATTTACCGCCATGTTGTCTGCCATGTTAGCGCATGCGTACTAGCTCTACTATATTTTGCTTCTCAAGTCCACAACTGTATATAAATAATATTTGTTTCATGCCTGCCAACTGTTATGCGGCAGACTAGAAACTTTAGGTAAGATGGGAGTAGTATTTTCTTTTTCGCTTAGAAGGGGGGGGGGTGGAGTCCAACTGGGTCCACTCGGCACGGTGGCCACTGATTGGCCTATAGTAGCCTACCCCAGGTGATTATGATGATGGAGAATTTGGTGGAATGAAGATTGGCAGGGGACACCGAAGTGCTCGGAGAAAACCCGCCCCAGCGCCACTTTTTCCACAACAAATCCCACTTGACCAGATCCGGGATCGAACCCGGGCCGCCGCGGTGGGAAGCCAGCGACTAACCGCTTGAGCTATGGCGCTGCCTTTGGGAATAGTTTTAGAATGTAGTGCACTAAATTTTATGTTTTAATTTTTCGAAAGGGACAGACAGCAGGTTGTACGAGTACAAGGGTGGAGTTGGAGCGAGAATGCTCAGGCAGCCAGACCTTAGCCAGCGCATTCCGCAACGGGAACAGTGACCGCGCTGATTCGCGACGCGGACAAAGTTTAACCGCTGATTAGTTGGAAGAACAGCGATCCGGGACCGAAGCCCGGAGGTGGCTGAATAGGCAATTCGGCCTATCGAGAGTGATGGACGGCAGAAACCACGTCAGATCATGGCTTCAAAACTCTACTGTTTAA